CATTCCTTTATTAATTGGAATAATTTAAAAATTCTTTCATATATATTATTTGCACCAGTGGTCGAATATATTGAGATACTAATATCCAATCATTTCCAAAATTTTTGTCATTTGTATGGGAAATCCTGTCACATTTTATATCACCATGGCTCTATAAGCAATTAGATTTTTATGAACAATAACTTAAATGAAAGTTTATTTATTGCTCTTCAAGATGTATTTAACTATTTTAACCTATGACCTTTGTTCTGACCTGTGCATATGACCTTTGAGTTTGTCCCGTAATTTTAATGACTCTAAATTTTTTATAAAATTTAATTAATTGGACAAAAATTACATTAAATAGACGTATAAAATACTTTTTACCGATTTTGTCTACGACTCATAACAAAAAACTTATTAAAGTTTTGCCAGAATTATTTTCACGTGTACGACCTTATAATATTTCGCAACAAATATACTTTCAAATGACTTTATATGAAATTACATCCATTTATATGGAAAACATAATATGAGTTTACTTTTAGTATTGAGATCTAAAATGTCATGACATGAGTTGATATGAGTTTTAAAAAGTAACGAACCATACAAATGATCATTTAGTCTCAATTTGTATAAACTTACAAATTGTGGATATATTTAGAGATTATTTCTAGAAATAAGAGTTTTGTGCAATACTTTATCAGCAAAATAGATATATTTCGCAATATAAAAAACTTAATATTATCTAAAGATTAAGAGACTTATTATAGGGAATAAAATTATTACAATTCAAAAAAAATACTGTAGTGGGAGTTGCAAGAATATTCTCTATAATTGTTTTCTTTATCAACTAAATTAATTACAAAACACATTAAAAACATTTAAAGTTAATTATAGCCATTAATAGTCTAAATATAAAATAAGGGACAGAAGTTTGCAGTTAAGCCATAAGAAAATGGATAAAATGAAATAAATGGTCTTAAACTCCCCTATTATGCATGACATCGAGTCTGTGAATGACTATATAATATATCGAGAGATTCATAACAAAATATATATTAAATTCTGTTCAATACTGTGTATAGAAAGCTATTTCCATTGGTTTGTCCATTAGTCTACCCGTCCATAAAAATTCAATATATTTAGTGCACTATTATATTATATAATGTAATAAAAGCTCTTATTTTAATTAAATGCAAAACATATGATGTGTTCATGAAATCAGTTTTAAAAATAATATCGCTTTTGAGGTTAGGGTTAAATTTGTTTGAAAATTATTTTTATTATAGATTCAAGATTATAAATATAATTACTGTACATTGAATATGATGTGTAATAATGAACACATAATAATATTATGTTAAAAACGATTGCAAAAGTGAATGAAATTTATTGACAATAAGTCATTGACAGACAAAATGGTTGGGAAGAAGGACCTCATATAAGAATAGCTCAAATGGTGAGCATTTGGTGTCATATGAACTGCAATTAAGTCATACAAACAATCGATAAATTATGGTTTGCAGACAAAACGTGTGTTCAGTAGTCAGTCATTCCTCTCAATCATACAAATAGTTTTGCAAATAATCTCTTTTCAATGATTTCTTTGTTTATGAATTCATAAGAGTATTAGTTGTGAACATATTATACATAATAGACATAAACTCGTTGTGAAAGTGACGGCAAACACTGATTATGGAGAATATTGTGTAACAAAAACATCTCTAATAATGACATAAACTTATATTATATACAATTTGTGCGATTTATGCATTCATTCACATCAGTAGAAAACTATGCAACTAATGAACTCTCAATAAACTTATAACTAAATAAATAAATAGTATTTCAAACACAATTTAGTTTTAACATTTTTCTGTATAATTGATAAAATAACAATGTTTTTAGTTTTAGTTATATTCTGGTTAAAAAACTAATGACCAAGATATTTGTGTATTATAAATTAAAATTAAATTCTATTATATCCTAGAATTTGTATTTCAATGCAAACTGTGTTTGGCTTCAGAATTGATTTCAAATGATATGGAAATGCAATCAAAGTTTCAAACTTTGATTCACTCAATAGATTCACGTATTATATGAATGAATGGGTAATGAAAACATGAAAACAAAGTTTGAGACAATCATTGACTCATTGAGTGATTGCTTTGAATTGAATTACAATTGATTTGACAATTGATTGCATGATTGAAGACAAACGATGTCCACGACTATGGACTCGAAGGCCAACCCGTTGTCCAACAAAATCAATAAAATACTCAATCAACCCATGGATAGAGTAAGCGATGGATCAGTTGAGTGATGAGTTGTCTCATTGGAAATGAATGTCTTTTACGGATATTAGGAGACATTGGAGGCGTTGGTGAGTGTGTCGGATGTGCTTCAAGACAATAACCTCCAGAGTCGGCGCCATTTGAGGACTGATATCGAGAGACAGAGTCTGAAGATCACCGAAGAGTTTGTCAATTGTTTCGATGCATTGAAGCACTCTTTGAATGACTTGTTTTCAAACGTCAATCAAATGAACCAAAACTGCAAACAAATGATCGAAAGGATTGAGGTATGAGTGGATCAGCTCCTCAGCGGTCACTCAGCTGTTGTCACACTTTTGTTGCTCTCGTGTTTCAGACCACAAGAACCCAAACCTCGCATCTTCTCAAACAAACCAATCAATTGAGTGAAGAATTGTTTGTATTTTTTGATTACCAATTGATTGTCACTTTTAAGACACATTTAGTGATAGTTTTGTCACTTTTAAGACACATTTAGTGATTGTTTTTGCGATCATTTCAATAGAAAGGGAATAGAAGTGAAGGAATTGGTGACCAATCGTTTCATTAATGAGTTTCAACTGAAACCCGAAGAACTGATGACAATCAACAACACCAACGATGACATCGACGACCACTTCTTCGAGATAATCGCAAAAGTGCGCAAAATTCACGAAAAGTCGAAACTATTGCTCACTAATAGTCAACACACGACTGGGTTTGCCATTACAGCCATGTCTTGATGCGAGTCATAATAACCACAGGTTTGATGTCTTGTCCACAGAATCGAAATCATGGATTCAATGGCTCTGCACGAAGAGGCAGCCAATGAGCGGCTCTATCGGTGGACTCTAAACATATTGCGAGGGATCAGTTCGGATGTGATTGAAGTTCATCCGCAGCTGTTCCGAGCCATGGCTTGTCTCGAGGAGAGGGAAATACTCTTCAAATACTGTTTGGATGAATACGTGACGGTTCGCCGATCGGCTGTTGTCCGCAATTTTATCGAAGCGCTCACCAGAGGCCGACCCAACGCTAACAGCCCTCCCATTGAGAGCCATAGCCATGATGTGATCCGATATGTGGGCGATATGTTCGCGTTTCTGCACCAATCGGTCGCCAATGAGAGGGAAATGATCGACACTTTACTCAAGTTATGCGACAAACAAAAGCTGTCGACCTCTGGTTTGGCCAACACTTGCATCGCATCCATAACTGAAGGTTTGTGTCGTTTCGCACACTTTGTCACTGATCTGTACCTATGTTTCACCCATAGGTTTGTGTCGACCCCTGAAGGTAAGGGTCGAACAGAGCTTAATATCGGACAACACGAGTGCCGCGAAAAGCGGTCCATCCGTATACTATGGCATCAAAAACATAATCGGCTTTTATGTGCACACATTGACACAAACACAGCTCCTGACCCCCGACTCGCCCTTCATTTATACGCTCAAAGAGTTGCAGACATTGAGTGATAAGATATTCTACAATAGTCTCAACTATAGTGTCGCCCGAATCGGCAAATCCGAGGCCACTAGTGATGTGGAAGTGCCGGCCAGTGATCTAAAGCCCACGCAATCCGTGACACAAATCGTTGCGGTTCTCAAAGAAGTGCTTTTGTGTCAAAACTCTAGTCTCACGTCAGATGAGGAGAGGGAGCGAGAAGTGCAACAAATCCTGTCGACAGTCATCGAGCCGTTGATCCACTCGTGTATTATCTCTGCGTCCAAACTGACGGCTCTAGAAATGGCTGTCTTTCTCGTCAACTGTCTCTTCGCTATCAATGAAACACTTTCTAACCATCGCTTCACCGATCGTTTCAAAGACATGATTACACAGCAAACTGATGGACACATTGACACTCTGGTGAACGAACAGATATCGCATATAATCTCTTATTTGGGATTAAGTCCTCTTCAGAACGCAATCCAACAAAAAGACGATCTAATGATCCCTTTGTCTCAACTCTCGGGATGTGATTCACTGGCCATCCGTTCGGCGATGGTTTGCATCCAATCATTGACTCCATTCTTAGCACTGAATCTAATGTTGTATTCATTTCAATGTATTTATAGCTAAAAATGGATTCATTTATCTCTCGTCCGACAGATCTAGTGCTCAGTCAGAGCTCACATCTCATTGACTCAAACACTAAGTAATTATCATTTAATTTGCATTCAATTCCTGTCAATAGTGTAATGAATGTGTGGTTTGTTGTGATGGACAGGCAGTTGGTGTGGAAGCGATCTCTGGAAGCGATTTGTTTGATATACGAAGAGATGTATGAATTGGTGACCAATGGTGTTAACCAATACGTGGACCCCTTATCACTGATGAACTATAAACCGGATCAAATGAAAATGCTTTTGTTGTAAATTGAATTCATATTAAATTAAATACTATTTTCGTAACATTTCTTGATTTTGTGTCCATTTATTGGTTACGTTTTATATGAATGACTCGCTGTTTGTAAACATATGAACACGTGTTGAAACAGACATTTAATTGTGTTTTTAGTAATTACTTAATAATTGTTGTAATTATAACTCAATTTACGGTAATTAGTGTTCATTAAGACATTACATGACATAATATGTATGTGTAGGTGCCGTAGAGTAGGAGTGGTATGTGTGGGACAGACATGTGTTCGTAATGCAGTGAATGTGTATTTAGTGAGCAATTGATGCCATAAAACGTAATATTGATTACAAATAGTGATTGAATTGAATTGAAATGACATTCAATGCAAACGAGTGAATGGTTTGCATATGTTTTGGACACAAATAGCTCACAATTGATGAGTGAATACATTGAATACAGTGTTAGTAATGATTGCATTGTTGAGAAGGAGTGCTATAATAGGGAAGCGATTGCATCGACAGTACTGTCGGTACAGACACTACGGAACAGACACTCCATTCGTGCGGACACTCGACGGACAGGCGTTCATACGAGACGTGAGGGAGAGGGAGGAAATCGGTTGAGTATATCATGTGATATAAGACATGGATTATTGGGGTAACAGTCGTATCGTACAAACAGGTGGTTATGACACGGATGAGGAACTGGATCTCTTGGACACCAAATACTTTACGCCACAGACTCTGGATTTGTTGGCAATTAAGTTGACTGAAGACACGAACGACTGTCCACTGCTTCCCAACCCATACATTAAAACCGGTAATAAATGTTTACTAAACTTATTGTACAATACATTAAAAATGTTTATTTTATTTATAATTTATGGCTATATTTGCCACACATTTTAAAACACTACTATTTTATTAGCATTTCATTTGAATTGATAAATGGCTTATAAATGAAGTATTTATTAAATTTTAGCCATTTATTGATTAAAAATTGTAGACATTTATCAACAAGTTATCACTTTTTATTAAACACTTCCGATATTAACGACACTATTCTGAGAAACGACTATTTAGTAAATAGTTTTAAGCCAGTCACTTGTGATTTACCATTAGTTTTGCACAATAATAGTAAGTATTTTGCTATTTGTGAATTCAAAATATTGAAATATTTTCAATTATTCATAATATGATTGAATTGTTTATTTGATTTTAAAGCCGATCACTATTTGTAAGGCTTTTTATTCGTGAATTTCTATATTGAACCCGTTTTTTGAATTTTATGTTCAAAATATCCAAAATTCTGTGACATTGTATTATGGCTTCTATTATATCTGTGTTGAGACTTAATGTGTGAGCGAATGGGAAAGGGATGGGAAAGGGATGAGAAATAGTTATGAAGAGAATATGAGATAACAGTTGTGTTAATATCTGTTGTTTTGTGGCATTTAGTAAGAAAACTATGAAATGCTATGAAATCCTACGAAAATGTTTGTGTTTGTTGTGCGCTATAATTGAATGAATGACATAATGATAGAGAAATATAAAGTTATGTGAAGAGAGTGAGTGAGAGTGAGTGAGTGAGTGAGTGAGTGAGTGAGAGAGAGAGAGAGAGAGAGAGAGAATGCTTAGCAGAATCGGTTCACAAATATATATATTCTTATGATTTATATATAAAGACAAAAATAATAATAAAAAGATTGCATTGAATGCTATTTTTCGCATCAAATTCATAATTAAGGATCAAATGGAGAATTATTGTGATTATAGTATCAATAATACCACAGATTTTATTACAAAAATCTTTTTTTATTTAATTCATAATATTCTTAATGATAACCAAATCTCTATTCAAAAGAATATTCTTATAAATGATGTATTCGTTGGTCTCCTTTCACGTCACGTGAGCTGTGAATTGAATTCAAATTTCCTTTCATATCAAATGTAAATAATATTCTTAACGATAACCAAATCTCTATTCAAAAGAATATTCTTATAAATGATGTATTCGTTGGTCTCCTTTCACGTCACGTGAGCTGTGAATTGAATTCAAATTTCCTTTCATATCAAATGTAAAAATAATTATTCATAAAGTTTTTTGTGACACAATGTGTATATTAAACTTATTCTTGAGATAAAATACGAGTAATTATTTGTGACAATAATTTATTTATACACTTAGTAAATATGAATTCATTATCTCGTACGGCATACAAAATAGCAATTTATGGCTTTGTTAATATTTATGTCTATATTCATGTGTAAGATATTCACATAGGAAATAGTATTTACAGAATATTCTGTAGCCTATTGTATGTAATTTGCTAAACGGGGTGTGAAATAGAGAAACAGTGAATATATTGGCACTAAATCTATGGATTATCTCCAAATAACAAGACATGTTGTGATTCATCGAAATCTGCTTTTATTAATGCAAATTGAAAAGACGTGTCACTAACTAATGGTCTTTGGATGTCGCCATTGAATGGCAAAAAATCGTAACACAATTAAAAACTCGGTTTAAGTTTCGCTAATAAAAAGTAATATAAATAACATTTTTTAATGATGTTGCTGACACTTCCCGTGATTAATAGACTTTTTGAATTAAAATGTTTGCCATTTTTTGAGAATATTTTAATTAATTATTACAATGAATACAGAGTAATATACTTNTTGAATTGTTTATTTGATTTTAAAGCCGATCACTATTTGTAAGGCTTTTTATTCGTGAATTTCTATATTGAACCCGTTTTTTGAATTTTATGTTCAAAATATCCAAAATTCTGTGACATTGTATTATGGCTTCTATTATATCTGTGTTGAGACTTAATGTGTGAGCGAATGGGAAAGGGATGGGAAAGGGATGAGAAATAGTTATGAAGAGAATATGAGATAACAGTTGTGTTAATATCTGTTGTTTTGTGGCATTTAGTAAGAAAACTATGAAATGCTATGAAATCCTACGAAAATGTTTTTGTTTGTTGTGCGCTATAATTGAATGAATGACATAATGATAGAGAAATATAAAGTTATGTGAAGAGAGTGAGTGAGAGTGAGTGAGTGAGTGAGAGAGAGAGAGAGAGAGAGAGAGAGAATGCTTAGCAGAATCGGTTCACAAATATATATATTCTTATGATTTATATATAAAGACAAAAATAATAATAAAAAGATTGCATTGAATGCTATTTTTCGCATCAAATTCATAATTAAGGATCAAATGGAGAATTATTGTGATTATAGTATCAATAATACCACAGATTTTATTACAAAAATCTTTTTTTATTTAATTCATAATATTCTTAACGATAACCAAATCTCTATTCAAAAGAATATTCTTATAAATGATGTATTCGTTGGTCTCCTTTCACGTCACGTGAGCTGTGAATTGAATTCAAATTTCCTTTCATATCAAATGTAAAAATAATTATTCATAAAGTTTTTTGTGACACAATGTGTATATTAAACTTATTCTTGAGATAAAATACGAGTAATTATTTGTGACAATAATTTATTTATACACTTAGTAAATATGAATTCATTATCTCGTACGGCATACAAAATAGCAATTTATGGCTTTGTTAATATTTATGTCTATATTCATGTGTAAGATATTCACATAGGAAATAGTATTTACAGAATATTCTGTAGCCTATTGTATGTAATTTGCTAAACGGGGTGTGAAATAGAGAAACAGTGAATATATTGGCACTAAATCTATGGATTATCTCCAAATAACAAGACATGTTGTGATTCATCGAAATCTGCTTTTATTAATGCAAATTGAAAAGACGTGTCACTAACTAATGGTCTTTGGATGTCGCCATTGAATGGCAAAAAATCGTAACACAATTAAAAACTCGGTTTAAGTTTCGCTAATAAAAAGTAATATAAATATTTATTAATGCAAATTGAAAAGACGTGTCACTAACTAATGGTCTTTGGATGTCGCCATTGAATGGCAAAAAATCGTAACACAATTAAAAACTCGGTTTAAGTTTCGCTAATAAAAAGTAATATAAATAACATTTTTTAATGATGTTGCTGACACTTCCCGTGATTAATAGACTTTTTGAATTAAAATGTTTGCCATTTTTTGAGAATATTTTAATTAATTATTACAATGAATACAGAGTAATATACTTATATTTAATTGTGTATAAATGTATGATTTTTTTTGAACAGAATTTCGATACAATTCTAATATAAAGAAGAAATTTAATCGTGTCTTAAGGCAAGTAGAAGTGCAACAGAGGGCCGAGAATTATGTGCAAACTTTTTGTGAGGATTTGATAGACAATATAAAATTCAGTGATTCCGTGGAATTGTGGACTGAATTTATAAAAAAAGATATTTTTTTCAATCACACCATCACTTCCAGACCAGACGTGTCTGTATATAAAGACAATACAATAATTCTGAACATTGAGTGCAAGTCCATCACCTCTGAAGACAATTCCTCAGAGTATGAGAAGTCGAGGGCACAAACCATCGGTGAATGTATAGTTACAGCACTTCATAATAAAGACATTTGTGATGATAAGGGCATAGATTATAGCCGACGATCCAAACTCTTCGCACTTCTTCTGCGGTCACATTTATTTCACTTTTATTCCCTCGATATTAGTGCCAAATATTTAAGACAATTGCGAACAGAGTTTGACGGATCCGAGCATTTAGTGGTCAATGAGTGGCAAACATTGGATTTTCGCCGCAAAGATCACCGCAAACTCATCACTAATTATTTACAATCAATATTTGCTGTGAATGACCAGCAATGGTAGCATTAGAGCAATGCTGTCAATAATGAGACAATTGTTGCCATTAATCGTATTCCTCAACAAATCCAACGAATTCTGTGTTCCCAACCGATCCTTATATGAGAACCCTATCACTGAAGGCCTATATCTGGGGCTCCAGTACTTGGAACAGGAGTTGACGTATTTGTCGGGCGTTTGTGTCAAAGCGCTGCTGAAGAAGAATCTCGTTTTGCCTCAAATTGTGAGCGAAAGTGATGTCAGCGTCGAGTCTGCGGTCC